TGGGTAGGGGCAGACTCTTCGATTCCACCGGAGACATATTGGATGGAGACGCTACCCTTGAGGCGAGGCTTACGGTAAGCAGTCCTCAGTGATGGATCTGTTCTGACCTGGGAGAGCCAAGCGTTGAGGCGACAGTACGTCTGGTGGGTTTGCTGATTGATGTGCAGCAAATGCTACAACGTCTGCTGTTGCTGCCATTCTGGGAAATGGGTCTGTTGTGACCTGGGGCAGTGCTGGCGGCGGCGGCAGCCGCTTAAGAACGTGCAAAAGATCCAAGCTACTGGCTCGGGATTTGCCGCCATTTTGGTCGATGGGTCTGTTGTGAAGGACTTAAGACAGTGACTCCAAGCTAACAATACAGCTTTTGCTTCTCGATCATGGGTGATGGATCTGTTATGAATTGGGGAACTGCGCAAAATGGTGGCTACAGCGGTGATGTACAAGATAAGCTGAAGGACGTGCAGCAGACTCAGGCTACCAGCCATGCTTTTGCTGCCACGGGTCCATTGTGACCTGGGGCCATGCTGATTATGGGGGGGCAACATCAGCTGCGTTTCTGGACGATGGGTCTGTTTTGACCTGCGGCCACGCAGCCACGATGTGAAAAGTCAGCTGAAGGATGTGCAACAGATCCAAGCTACCTAATCTGCTTTTGCAGCCATTCTTGGCGATGCGCCTGTTGTGATCTGGGGCTGTGCTGATTCTGGTGGCGACAGCACGGCTGTTCAAGATCAGCTGGTGCGCGCGTAGCCATATACTCCATACACTTACCCAGCACCCAGCAGAAGTGGCGAGTGCTCTTCCACCCGAAGTCCTCAACCCTACACCTTCACTCTTCGAAGCCCCGAAACTTCAAAACCCATGTGTTTGAGAACATCTTGTCATCACCTTGAAACCCCAACCTTAAAGGCTCTTTGTAGCCCTGTAGTACCCTTTTTCCCCTTTTTTCCCTTGCATGGGCGACCAAGTGCTTCTCTCTCCCTGCCCATTGAGTTATCATCCTTCAGCTATGGTTTCTACTTGAAGGTTCATGGGACTTAATAACCACTTATAACTGGGCTTATAGCCCTACTTATAAATGGGATATCCCCTATAAGGCCCTTTAGGGGCATTATAAGTAGGGTTAGAAGTACAGTTATAACTGGTTAGTAAGTACCATGAACCTGTAGCCCAACCCCCTAGGATGGCCAAATGTTTCCAGGAAAAAAACCACTAAGCACCTTAAGCCCTAAACCCTCAGCCCTGACCCCTACACCTTCAACCCTAAACCGTAACCTAAACCGTAACCCAAAACCCAAAACCCTAAACCCTAGAATTGCTTCCTGGTTTTTTTCTGAGTCAGGTACCCCGACGCATCCTCTCCTCGAGGCGCCAAGCCCTGTCGGAGTGTAGGTTTTCGGGTTCGGGGCCAGGGTTTAGGGTTAGGGTTTAGGGTTTGGGGGGTTTAGGGGGGTTTGGGTTTAGGGTTTAGGGTTTAAAAGGTTCAGGGGTTTGAAAAATTAGAAACTTGGGGGCTTAGTCGCGGCTTTTGGGTTCAAGGGGTCGCCTCCCCGAATATCGACAACAGCCTCTGATCTTACGCATCCCTTTGTAGGTTACCTAAGAATCTTATCAGGGGTTTATAGTGTGAACCCACGAAAAAGTAGGTTTCGGATTCTGAAGGCCCTAAACCCTAAGCCCCCTAAACCCTAACCCTAACCTAACCCTAAACCCTAAACCCTAAACCCTAAACCCTAAACCCTAAACCCTAAACCCTATGAGCCCTCTTCCAAAGCTTCGCCAGGCGGGGCCGGGCTCAGATGGAGGCGTGACCCAACAGGGCATATCTTTAGGGTTTAGGGTTTAGGGTTTAGGGGTAGGGTTTAGGCCCTGACCCCCCCCCCCCCCCCCACTGCATCAAGGGGGGTTTACTTGGGTCTCAGGGCCCCGTGCGGGGAGGCCGCCCTAGTTCGACGGCTCTAGATGAACGCCAGGGTCCAAAAGCGCCACATGGTCACTTGACATGTTCCCTTACCCTCTTTAAATAGTTCTGAAGTCTTGGCCCTTGGCTTTTCAGAGGGATTATCCGGGGTGTATTTATATATATATATATATATGTATATATATATATAAGGGTTCCAATTAAGCCATGATCGTGTGTGGCATCGGGGAATGACCTGACGCGCTGAGATTACAGTCTTTCTGTGTGCGCGTGTGTGATCTTGGGGGGGGGGGGGGTGATCTTGGGGGGGGGGGGGGGGGGGTCATCATCTAACAACTATAACCCCCTTAAAACCATAAAAAGGCAATAAAAGGGCACCCTTTGTTTCCTAGGTTACCCCTGGGTCTGGACTCTACACCCCAAACTCAGCGAGAAGTTGGGACCATACTCGAACCCTACACCCTGAACCCTGAACCCTAAACCCTAAACCCTAAGCCCTAAACCCTAAGCCCTAAGCCCTAAACCCTAAGAAGCATTATCGACAGGCCGGGCGCAGGGCCGTCAGGTGAGGATGCCCGCCGCTGGCCTGGCATCGGAGCTTTCAGGGTCTAAAGGCTTGAGTTGAGAGGTGAGGGTTTGGGGTTTAGGGCTAGGGTTTAGGGCTAGGGTTTCGGGTTCCGGGTTTAGGGTTTAGGGGGTTTAGGGTTTAGGGTTTAGGGTTTAGGGGGTCTAGGGGTTAAACTCGTAGGAGGCTTTCTTCCTCCAACCCTACAAGCCCTCACCGCTACAAGATGTCTTGGGCCGTGTGGGGCTTCCTGGTGGGCGGGTCGTTCTTCGGTCTTCGAGAAGGGGAGGGTTTAGGGTTTAGGGTTTAGGGTTTAGGGTTTAGGGTTTAGGGTTTAGGGTTTAGGGTTTAGGGTTTAGGGTTTAGGGTTTAGGGTTTAGGGTTTAGGGTTTAGGGTTTAGGGTTTAGGGTTTAGGGTTAGGGGGCTTGAAACACTGCGGCCGACAGGGTCTGGTGATGCGAATTCTTGCGCGAGCCAAGGACGAGAGGCCTGCGCAGAACCTCTGCATGCCGCTCTGCTTCACTTTGGGTTAAGGTTTGAAGTTTGAGGGTTTAGGGTTTAGGGTTTTGGGTTTAGGGTTTAGGGTTTCGGGCTAGACCGAGCACCTGGGTGCATACCGACCTAAGAGCCTTGGGACCCACATTGACCTAGGTTGGGCACACCCTGGGCACACCCCTGAACCCTAGACCCTAATCCCCAAGCCCTAAACCCTAAACCCCAAACCCCAAACCCTAAACCCTAAACCCTAAACCCCAAACCCCAAACCCTAAACCCTAAACCCTAAACCCTTGGCCTCAGGCTCAGGCCTGTAGTTTGCATCCCAAGGCTCCTAGAATCCCGGCAGCCCTTCACCCGAAGCCTCAACCATGGGGCGCATGGCACAGGTGCTTCTCTCTTTTTTTCAAGACTGGTTTAGGGTTTAGGGTTTAGGGTTTAGGGTTTAGGTCTTAGGGTTTAATTAGGGTTTAGGGTTAGATCAACCCCGGAAGCCTTACTAGTTAGATCTACATGCCATTTCAATCTTTCAAGGATGCTTCAAGTTCCCCCGTGCCCTGCATAGGCCATCAGTGAGGACGTGCTGAGAAAGAAGCCCTAAACCCTAAACCCTAAACCCTAAACCCTAAACCCTAAACCCTAAACCCTAAACCCTAAACCCTAAAGTCTTTGCTGAGGGCTCGCTACCAACACTTGAGAGCCCGAAGCCGTCCGAGCTTCGCGAGCGACCTGAGAGCACTGAACGTGCAGCCCAGGTAAAGCTGGGGCTGCTGGACGCTCCAAGGCAAGGTAAGGCCCACACTGGCCGTCAAGGCGGTCGAGCCTTTGAGTGTCAAAGGTAAAGACCCTAAACCCAAGACCTTTTGCTGGTGCAACCTGGCCCCCCCCCAAGGACCGTTGCTGGTGCAACCTGGCCCCCCCCCAAGGACCGTTGCTCGTGCAACCCGGCCCCCCCACCAGATTTGCTGGTGCAACCTTGGGGCCCCCCCCTCAAGACCATTGCCAGGCTCAGACCGCCCCGGAACCTTTGTGGGGCTTGCTTTTCCCGGACCATTTCCGACCGTTTTTCCCTTTTCCGGGCCAAAACTGAGCAATTTGGGCTTCCCAGACCATTTCTGAGCCTTTTTGGGCTTCTCCCAGCTTTTCTCCCAGACCAGTTCGGAGCTTTGATTTTTGAGCCTCTTTGGCCTTCTGCCAGCTTTTTTTGGGCTTGGCTCAGACCCTTTCTGAGCATTTCCGAGCTTTTGTCGGCTCCCGCCAGACCATTCCTCAGCCTTTTGGGCTTCTCCCAGACCATTTCTGAGCTTTTTTTCTGCTCTTCCCGACCATTTCTGAGCTTTCTTGGGCTTCATTCCTGAGCCTCTTTGACCTTTCTCCAGACCATTTCTGAGCTTTTCGGGCTTCAAGCCATTTCCTTCTGTTAGAGGGGCCGCCCCACGATTCCGTCAAACGTGGTCCATTCCAATTGTACGAAGGCAAGGACTTCGATGGCTGAAATGATCCCATGATTTTCGGGATTTGCGCGTGTCAAAGCACTTTTTCACGGTCCTAGTTATCCTTCTGGCTGCAAGGCAGTCTTCTGAGACCTTCCTGGACCAAAACTCCGACCCCCTTGCCTCCTAAGAAGCTTCTACTGGGGTCCATAAGGAGATCCCTCAAAGCACAGGCAGGCCTAATGAGGTGGAGAGCCCCAAGATTGGCGGATTGACATCGATGCACCTGGGGGGGGCTTCTCGTACAATTCAAACAGTCCCTGAAAAGAAACGCTTTCTGCGTCTAGCTCCAGAAGCCGCGCCGCGTTCTTGCTGCTGCTCCACGAGTTTTGCATGTTGCTTTTTTCGCCTGCGTGATATCTCTGTTCCTGCTCTCTGGCTACAGAAGGGGGGCCCACCTGTGCCCGCTGTGGGCCGCCACCGACTGCGATGTTGTTCTAGGGCCCACCTGTGTAATCTGCAGGCCGCTGGAGCCTACTGTACAAAGCTATTTCACAGGATTCCGCCCAAACCTGCCACCGACTTTCACATGGCCGGCTTGAAATGGCGCCGCTTCAGAACGCCGCCGAGGAGGTAGTCCCTGTCCCGCTGCACGCGGCTGACGGCGACGTAGCCCGCCGCTTTGGCGCCTGGGATGTCCAAGTACACGGTGATGTGTTCCAACTCTGCCCCTTGCAGCTTGTGGATCGTCGAGCCGTAGCCCGGGCGGACGGGGTACGCCGTGACGTAGCCGCAATCCTCCACGTAGTCGGTCACTGGGTAGACGGCCAGCTGGCGGCCGGTTTTGGTGCACACGTGCAAGCACTTCGAGCTGGACTCGTACCCCACGACCGTTGCCTCCATCCCATTGATGAAGTCTGCCTCCTTGTTGACGTTGCGGGTCAGGTGCAAGCGCATGCCCTTGTAGAGCTTCATGTCCAAGGGGGCTGGAGAGCGGCCGGTGATGAGCTGGTTGTAGTTGTCCTTGTCGTAGTTGGCCGGATTGGACTCCCAGTCCACTGGCAAGGTCGCCAACTGTCGCTGCTTCCGTGTAGTGAAGAGGATCCAGATGGAGAGGTCATTCACCAAGGCCGCCGCCCTCCTGGTGCACGTGGCGATGGTGGTTCGCGGGTGGCTCCGGTACAGCTGCTGCAAATCCCAGGCTGTCGGATCCTTATGCCCCGACCAGGCCTTGTGTCCACGGCAGATGTGTTGCAACTGCTTCTTGCTAGGCATGGATGTCCGCAAGAGCTCCAGCTTTTCCTTCAAGACCTCGTCTTTGCACCTCCACATCTGATGCAAAGCGATCTGGTGCACCGTGCTCCACCGAGGGCTGTCCGTGGCCTTCGACGGCTCATGGCCTCGGGGGCAGAAGCCGGGCAGTTGCCAAAAGTCTCCGGCGAAAACAAGGGCCGGCAGCTTGTCTGCGGCCTCCCACATTTGGATGATCCGCTCAAAGTCCGACTGGGACAGCTGCGAGATCTCGTCGATGGCAACCATGTCGTACTGCGTCAAGCAATCCATCACTTCGAGAGCCTCCCTGTAGAGAAAGAAGGCTCCCGAGCAGGTGTCCACCTCCGCCTGCGCGTGCTTCGCTCTCACCCGCGAAGCCTGCTGTGCGGTGGGCAAGGCGTACAGGACCCGGCCACCCTCCCGTAGGCAGCGACGAACGCACTTGTCCACCACAGTTGTCTTTCCAGTGCCTGGGGGGCCGGTGACGAACAAGGGCTTGTTGTTGGTGTGGGCCTCCTCGACGATCGCCTCCCAGTCAGCATCATTCTCGGCCAAGCGAGCCCGCTTCGCTCGATCGAGCTGCTTGCAGACTGCTTTTTCCAGGCGCTTCTGCTCGCGGTTGAACTCGACATCTGCGAACATGGGGTCCTCCTCGCCTTCGACCAATCCAACATCCAGCATGGCTGCCTTCACACCGGCATCGTCGGACTTGTGTAGCTCACCGGACAGGAATCTCTCCACCAACGAGCGCTGGGCCCTCACCATGGCCAAGAAGGTTTCGGCTCTGTCGTTGCCCACGGCCTCCAGCTCCAAGTCTGCTCGGATCTGTGCATCATCCTCCCAGTAGTCTGGGCACTGCTTCAATGCATTGGCGAAATGGAGGTACTGGATGGGCACCTGCAGTCTGCATATCCAGCCGCGCGGCAAGACTACTCTGTTGTTTCGGCGGGAAACGGCGCGCGTGTCTACATAATAGTTCATTACATCTCTACTCAGTCGATGTGTCTGACCCCTGCCTTCTCGACGACCGCCGGGTCCAGTAGATGGTCCAGGTTGCGGAAGGGCTGTCGCAAGGCCAGCCACTGTCCAAACCAGCGGTCATTGAAGAGGGACAGCATATCACAGGCGATGAGCTTCTCCCCGCGCGCGAGGCATGAGTTGGCGAAGGCCACCAAGCTGGCGCGTTCCGTGGCCGCGCCATCGGGGCCGGCTGCCGTGGGGCACCCGCTCTTTTTCCATAGCTTCTTCACCCAATCGATGATGTTCCCGTCCTTGTTGCTCTTCCGGCAAAACTCCAGGAAGCTCATGCTGTCAGCTCTCCATTCAGACTCTTCGTAGTTGTGCACCAGCTTGGGCTTTGCCTCCATGCCTGGCCAAGGGCAGAGCAGCGGCACCATGGTGCCACCGTACTTGCACGGAGGAAGGAGCCACGCGCAGAGGTACAGCCACATCTCCGGTTCCGCAGGCTGGTAGTCGAAGAGCACTCGTCTCGCCACCGAAAAGGCTGAGGCTTGGTCATTCAACCACTCTCTCGCGAAGCTGTCCGAAAACTTCGGCGCGTAGATTGCTACGTACTTTAACAGCAGCCCTCTTGCATTGCCATGGAGCACGTCCTGGTGGCACTTCAAGATCTCGAGGACCTCCTTGAAGAATGCCCGATGTCCTTGCTCCTGTAGCAGCGGGAGACAGTTGCGGCGCCAAACATGCCAATCGTTGCATCGCACGCCAACCGTGCGTGATTTATGGACGTATCATCTACCTAGCGCAGAAAAAACGACATCCCTTATCTTCGTTCTTTCTGATGTGTCGTTATTCCTCGGCGGAAGTTCTGCAAGATGCAACTACCCAGAGCACTCCTTGTCCGCTGCCGAATGCTGAAGCTTCACCAAGCCGGTGTCTGCATCGAACCTAGAAGGACCGTCCTCCACGGGCCAGCCACTGTCACTGCGTCCGTGGGGTCTGCCCAGCATGTAGCCACGCAGCACCGCCTCCTCCTCGCCTGGCACGGTGGCTGACATCTTCTTCTCCAAGCCAATCTTGTCGACGTTCTGCAGGTAATCCAGGCTGTGAACATGGACGCGTCCGCTTCCGTGGTAGTCCTGTGTCGGCAATTTCTTTTTACCGTCCTGGAACTCGAGCCTTTGGAAGTAGTTGACCACAGTCGGGGTCACGCCATCCTCTGCTGCCAAGATGTGATCCTTCCAGCCGTCGCTTGCTGCCTTCTTGTTCATGCCCGCGAAGAGGCCCCGGTTCACCTCCGTGAAGACATGGGCTGTGTGCAAGGTTTCCAAGCCACCCGACTGCACGCGACCCTTGCCGGACTTCTCCATCTCGTCCAAGATGGCGATGTGGTACGGGAAGCTGTACTCCCAGGGCGCGATGGTGCGGAAGAGGGCCGGGAACCCGCACTGACGCTGCATGTCGATCAAGCCGTGGTGTTTGGTCTTCCAGTACAAAGGTGAAAAGGTTTCACCCTTGAGGACTAAGCGAAGCGGCAAGCCAGCGCAGGCATTTTTGCCGCCGCCAATGCGAGACCACAAGGTCAGGTCGTACGCAAACTGCATCAATTCGAAGTCCTGACTGTAGCCGATGACGGGACTGAGCACCTTTCGCATGAAGCTGCGCTTGATGCTGTGACGGCCCTCGTCGTCGGCGTCGTTCGGACCGGCCTCGTAGCCTTGGCGCTGCAGGCGCCGGGCGTCGGTCGCTCGCTCGACTGTTTCGCACATCTCTGTGCACCAGTACAGTGTTGGCCACACCGCGCATTCCAGCCCAGGGGTCTCCATGAACTGCAAGGGCAAGCGCCGTTGGAAGTCATCTGCGTCGGGATGCTTCTGCAAGAACTTTTTGTGCTTGTGGACCAGGTCTCGGTAGCTGCTCTCGGCTTCTTTCGACATGAGGTAGTCATAGGCCTTCTGCAACTGCTCGCGCTTGCGCCGCTTGCGTACCTGCCGTCGACTCTTCAAGTCAAAAAAAGATTGGAGCTACGTTCGTTTGGCTTCTCGCGCACCAGACTCAAAGGAAAGAACCCATGCCTCGGCGATCTTGTCCACCACGGACTGCTTGCACCAGCTAAATCGGGTCATAGAGGACTTGATGCGGTACCCGTTCTCCGCTTTTTTCACCGGGCCCACGCTGATCTCCAATGGCCGCAGCTTGCGCACCATCTTCTGGGTCAACTTTCGCAGCGGGACAGGAATGTCCTCTGGCTGAGGCACCCACTGCTTGGCCTTGCACTGCTTGCAAGCTTTGCTGCTAATCGTGGCTTGCGCCACCCGGCGCGCGTCGATGGGCTCCAAGTTGCGGAACTGCAAGGCATGGCACTTCTCACAAATGCCGAGCGAACCAAACTTGCACCAATGCTCCACAAACGCCGCTCTCTGCGTCACTCTGGCGGCCGGCAATCCGGCGTCATTCTCGGCGATGTCCTCTGCCTCTGGCTCGGGAAGGTCGTTGTCCGTGAAGAACTTCTTCACCACTCGGTTGCGATCTGCCTTGCGGCGCTTTTTGTACGCCGTGACCTCCTCGCTGCTGAGAACCTTGAAGGCTCTTTTGCGGCTAGCCAGGGCACTTCGCCACTCCTGGGCCACCTTCTGCGCTTGGTCCACAGACGGGCTTTTGCGTGGGCGCTTGGCCTCTCCACGCTTGGCCAGCAGAGCCTTCGCGTGCAAGGCTTGACGCCATTGGTCCGGCACTCGCAGCAAGGCTGAGTTGTAGACGTGACTGTGGGTGTCATAGTGCTTCCTGAAAGCCTTCAGTGCTTGGGTCACGTTCCGCCGGCCACCCGCAGTGCCGCAACTCTCCGTCATCTTGGAAGGATCGCAGAAGAGGCACTTTTCTGCACGGGTGGCTTGCGCTGGCGCGTTGACCTTGCTCGTGCTGTAGATGCAAGGCAAGCGTGGAGCAAAGCCTGCGCACAGCCTCGGCATGGAACTGACACAGGCGGAACACGACCGAATGCTCCTGCACTTCTCACGCGCGACACGGATTACTTCAATGCATTCATGTTGAACCCCTCTGCGACATGTGACACACATGTGCTTTAGTTTGGGTCCTCCGTCTGCTACTTGCCGTGGTGTTTTTTTTCTCAGGTACTATGTACAATGCCTCGACCTGGAGCTGCGCTGGCTGCAGACATGCATGCATACGTGCGAGCAGGCAAGCAGCTCAGCCAAGCCACTGCAAGTGCAATTGAAAGTGCCAACAGCGCAAACGTATGGCTTCTACACGCCTTTGCCTGCCAACCAAGACATTACCAGCTGAACCGATCACGACAACACCTACAACTGACACGCGCCTCTTTTGTCGACTGCATCGATGCCTCTCGCTCGCCGGGGCCTGCCTGTACTTGTCCGCTCGGCCCACTGACCCTGCCTGCACTACCCAACTCTGTCAACAGTGCTTGCCGCCGCCGACGAGGGTCGCCTGCAAGGCCTGTCCAAGGAGTGCCCAGCAAGCTAAGGGGGCGCATAGCGCTGTACGACACGTTGCGCAGGCTGCGCTCACTTGCTGGGCTTCTGTGCCTTCAGCAGCGGCATCAGCAGCTCTGCCGGTCCGACGTAGGAGAAGGCCTCGATGGGGGGCAGGTCCGGCAGGACTGTGGAGATGTCGCTGCTCTGGGGCAGCAACGCGGTGAAGTGAAAACCTTCGTGCCTCACGAAAATGGGATTCAAGCTCCCCATGGCAGCGTCCTCTCCGGCCCACACCTTCGTCTTGGCCTCGGCAGTGTCCACCACGAAGACGATCTTGGCGCGGGCGCTTTCCTGATCGACCTCAAACTTGACATAATCTTCGTAGAGCCCCTCTCCCAGCTTGGCCTCGTTGGCCGCCACGCGGCAAGCCTTCTGCTTGTTCTCCGGGAGCTTCTTGATCCACTCGGCGGCCCAGGTGTGCACCTCCTCCTTCTTGGCGGTTGGGCCGAGGGTGGCGCGAGCGAGGGAGAGAGGCAGGCAGCAGTTCTTGTGGGTCTTGTCGTCCACGTCCAGCAGCATGCCCTCATCCACGTCCTTGAAAAGCTTGCAGGTGACAGCGGCCTTCTTGGGTTTCTTCACGGGACTGGACTGCTCAGCGCTCGAGGCGCTCTTGCGCTTCTTGTCCTTCTTCGTCTTTTTCTCCTTCTTGTCTGCCTTGCTCTTCTTGTCGGCCGCGTCCTTGTCCTTCTTCTTGCCCTTCTGGTCCTTCTTCTTCTGCTTGGAAGAGCCGGATGACGCAGCCTTCGTTGCCGAGGAGGCTGAGGACGAGGCGGACGTCTTGCTGCTGCTAGAGCGCTTGCGCTTCTTCTCCTCCTTGCGCTTCTTCTTGTCTTTCTTGCCCTCGTCCGTGTCAGAGGCCTCGGAGGACAGCCCGCAGGTGCGCCTGCTCTTCTTCCCCACTTGTGCCAAGTAGGACTTGGCCAGCGCCTCCACCAAGCGCTCCTTGCTCGAGGGCCCGCGCATCCATTTCTGGACGGCCTCGGGCTGCAGGTCCTTCTGGGTCTTCATCTTCTCGACCCACGCTTTCGGATCTCTGCAGAGGGCGAACCACTGGAGCATCTCCATGGCGAAGACGTATTGCGTTGCCGCACTCCGTGCCAGCCGCTGCCACGGCTTCGCGCCTTCTTTGCTGTCTGTGCTGAAGTAAGTCACCCACGCGGCCGCGGCCTCCTCCACCGACAGCGTGGGCTTGTCTCCTTCGAAGTTCTTGTCGAAGAATGCCGCGACCTGCCGCAGCTGTTCCCCCTTGGATTTGCCCAGGCCCTCGGCCAGCGCCTTCAAGCCCAGCTTCTCCGAGGCGTCCTCCATGTTCTCCAGATACTTGTCCACAAAGGCGGCCATCATGTTGACTGTCCCGCCGCCCTCGCTCAAGGCGATGCCCATCCTGTTGCACGCCTCGGATGTCGCAGGGGTCAACCTCTCCGACAAGCTGCGCAAGGCCAGGTGCTCGGCGTCCGATTTGCCCTTGGTGTAGAACGGGCTGCCTGTGTCCGAAGCGTAGGCGCGCAGGTTGGCCTTCCCAAAATGCCACTTGGAGTCCACGGCCTGCAAGTACTTGCGTTCCCACTTCTTCGGTTGCTCATCCTCGGAGCCTTGGCTGCGGCGACGAGCTCCACCACCCTTGCCTTTGTAGCCTTTTCCCATCGCTCGGGCGCGACTTTCGACGCTAGGACCCACTACGGGCTACGGCTCTGCTGCGCTGCTCAAAGAAACGGCTGTGGAAACAGTTTTTCATCTCGGCGCTGGACGTCACACCCCGCGAAACTCTGCCGGAATGGGAGAGGCTTGAGCATGCGCTTTCCGTGAAGTGCCATGGTGACAGCTCGACACCGACACTGTTTTCCTTTGCCTCTATGTGGTCTGTCGCGCGAGTCAGCGCCGTGAAGTGTTCCCTGCGCACCGCTGCTCTTGACACTCTTGTCAAGGTGTACCAACACAGCTTGCTATGATTACGCGCCTAGTGACTCTAAAAACTTGCATTATAAATGGAAGCAAGGCGATTTAAGATACGACGCACAATTAGGATTATGGCTGTTTTTCTTCCATGATTGTTATAACTGTCATTGTTACATTGTTCTTCTTCTTCACATACTTACTCTTGCCATATCAGCGTGCTGCTCTTCTGATTACCAATACTGCTACTCCGGCTACATCACCGTTCTACTCTTATTGTTCCTAGTACTGCTACTGTTGTTATTCCTACTTGTGCTGCTGCTCTCCCAATGCTAGTGCTAGTACTCATACGCGGCAGGGAACCCTTTATCGGCAGTTGCACGAATTGGTGAGACGCCTGGCCCGACAAACAATGCACAGCTTGCAGCAACAGAACGGCGTCGGGCACGCCCGGCCTACGAGGGAGGGGGGGCCGAGGCCCCCCCACTGTCCCCCCGCAGCACCGGGGAGGCAAGGAGTTGAGTCTGCGGTCGCGCTGCCTCTGACCCGGCGGTTCTTGGGTCGTACTCTAAATGGCACCCGGCGATCGGACCCCGAGCCGCCGTGCTGTGACGGGACCCGGGCCGCACCGTAGGAAGTCTTACGTCTTTCCGCAGGGACTCTCGCTCCTACTTGAATGGGTTTTCTGTATTTGACCCGAAACGCTTCATGCTCATCTCGGACTTTGGCCGCCAAGGAAGTAAAATCCCGAAAAAAGCCACCCGAAAAAAATCGACATGTTTCAAAACACAAGCGCGGTCCCCCCACTTTCGCCGGGCAGCAATACGGAAAATCGGAAAGTCGTCCGGCTGGACCCCGAAGAAACCACGAAAAAACCTTCCCCCGAAAAATCGACGTGCCTCAAACGACAGGCATGGTCACCCCACTTTCGCCGGGCAGAAACACAAAAAACCCAGAAAATCTCCCACCTATCCACCGTCACGCGCGTCACGCGCGGCACGCGTGGACGCGTGACAAGCGTCACGCGCGTCACGCGCGCTGGGCCTGAAAACCTGTCACGCGGAGACGCGTGCCCCGCGTGACGCGCGTGACGCCGGGCCCGGGGGGACCCAGCGCGCGTGACACGCGTGACGCGCGTGACACGCGTGACGCGCGTGACGCGCGTGACGCGCGTGACGCTGGAGCCCTTGTGGCAGGTTTCTGGGAGGCCCCCGAGGCCCCTGAACCTCCCTGAAAAACCCCTGTAAGGCCCTTCCTGCATGCCCCTTCCTGCATGCCCCTTCCCAAAAAACCTGGCCCAAAAAAAGGCCCTGTGGAGCCCATCCCCCTGGGAGGCTCCTGGAGGGCCCCTGTGCCCCCGTGAGGTTCAGGTCGGGACGGCGCAGAAACAGCGTGCGCAGGGGCACAGCATGCCCCCGCTGGAAAAGCAAAAACAAGACTTTAGGAACTAAACCCTAAAATGAATATGCAGGGTGGCTTGGGGTGGGCCTACCGCCACGCGCTGTTGCGAGCGACCCGGGCAGAGGGGCCGGTTAAAAAAAATAAAGTGAGGCCCCGGAGCCCAGCGAGCAACCCAGAACGTAACACACCCTAAACCCTAAACCCTAAACCCTAAACCCTAAACCCTAAACCCTAAACCCCAAGTCCTGAGCATAGTCGGCTGGCGTCAGTCAGCCAGGCAGATGGCAAAACCAAGCCCCCCTTGTCAAGGATTATTATCGGAGTTCAAGGCCCTAAACCCTAAACCCTCAACCCTCAACCCTCAACCCTAAACCCTAAACCCTAAACCCTAAACCCTAAACCCTCTCCTAGTCCCCCGCAACAACCCTCCTCAGACCCAGGGAAGGCATCGACCGCTGTGATGAAGCCTTGGGCGGCCCTGGTGGGCAGAGCAACTGGTCCGGGTGGCCCAGACAGTACTTTTAAGGGGGTTCTGAAAGGTTTAGGGGCTAGGGTTTAGGGTTTTGGGTGGTTTGAGATTTCAGGATTGAGGGGGGTGGGGGTTGGAGTTGTGCATGTGGGGTCCCGGCTCAACCCTAAATCTCTCGAAGGCTAAGGTCCTGAATCCAGCACCTCTACAATCGTTTGCCCTTACAGGGAGTAGTGGTTCCCACAGTTTTCCTAACCCTAAAAACCCAGAGCCTTAAACCCTCAACCCTAAGCCCTAAACCCTAAGCCCTAAACCCTAAACCCTAAACCCTAAACCCTGAACCCTGAACCCTAAACCCTAAACCCTAAACCCTTAACCCTTAACCCTTAACCCTAAACCCTAGCCGGACAGGCAGCAAGTCGGCGCCGGCCGCGGTAGCTACGAAGTGGCCCGGGCGCCGAGGGTTAGAGGGGTTTAGGGCTCATGCCTTAAGAACCGGGTTTAGGGTTTAGGGTTTAGGGTTTCGGGTTTAGGGACCTTCAGAACCCCAAACCTACTCTTTTGTTGGTGGGCTCTCATGATAAAGCCCCTTATTTTGGATTCTTGGGGAAGCTACCAGAGACGTAGGTTTTGGGGTTCTTAAGGATAGGGGCCATATGTTTCCCAGGTTTGGAGTCTATATTACTGTCATTGGTGAGTGTCGATGGGGATCCTGATAAATATTGGTCAGTGTGTATATTGGGTGTCCTGTTGGTTGGGGATACTCATAATACAAACCCTACTTCATATTAAGTCTAAGTGTTGGGTACAGAGGGGGATGATGTCTTATGTGGGCTTCAGGGTGCACAGGGTGAGAGAACGCGCGAGTGAGAGAGAGGGGTGCAGAGGTGTACGCGTTTTGAGTTTAAGGGTTCATGGCTGCATTCGACGGCCCAATGCAACAACCTTCCTTCTTCTCTGAGTCTTGCGACACAGGCCCCAGGGCTCTCTATGGTGTCTTTCTTGAGGTCTTTCGGTCTTGCAGGTGTATGTAGGGCTTAGAGTTCAAGGTTTAGGGTTAGAAGTATATCGGTTTAGCAGTTGGGGGTTTAGGGTTTAGGGTTGGGTTTAGGGTTCAGGGCTGGGTTTAGTGTTCGTTGCAAGAACCTGCAATCCATTGCTCAAGGTTTCTGGGTCCTGTCTAGGTTGAGACCTTGGTCTACGTTGGCGAGGGCAAGGGCAACTACAACAAGGACGAAGTGGAGCAGGCAGAGTCTACAGGGAACGGAGTCTGGGTCTGGTTCCCTGCATTCGTCTGAAGGGGTCCTCGGCCTGAGTTTGTGTTAAGAACAGCTGTAGACAGCCTTGCAACTGCCTTGACCAGGCTGAAGGGTCTCGTTGCAGCTGCCTTCCGTAGGGCGTAGGGCGGCATCTTCACAGGATACGAAGGCTTTGTCACTGGGTAAAGTCGACGGTGCATCGTCCGTTAGCTGGTGGCCTCTTGCCGTCCTAAACCCTAAACCCTAAACCCTAAACCCTCTAAACCCTAAGACCCTAAACCCTAAAACCCTAAACCCTAAAACCCTAAACCCTAAAACCCTAAACCCTAAACCCTAAACCGCAGCTTCAGTTCTCCTCCACAGGTGCAGCGGCCGCGGGCGGTCATCAGTTGGCAGCGCAGGCCACCCCATGGTGGTGTGTTTTACTGTCATTGAAGGTGCTATAGTGGTTTAGGGTTTCGGGTTGAGGGTAACTTGATTTTACTAGCTACAATGGGGGGGAAGCGTATGAATTACTATTTATCCCCATTATCGCAACTTGAAGCCCGAAACCTACACGCTTAACAAGAAATTTCTGGACCCAAAGCCTAAACTAAACCCTAAACCCTAAACCCTAAACCCTAAAACCTAAACCCTAAACCCTAAACCCTAAACCCCAAACCCCAAACCCTAAACCCTAAACCCTAAACCCTAAACCCTAAACCCTAAACCCTAAACCCTTAACCCTAAACCCTAAACCCTAAACCCTAAACCCTAAACCCTAAACCCTAAACCCTAAACCCTACCCAGGCTCTACATGGGCATCCTCTGCAGCTTCCTGGCTGCGGGCTTCGTCTCGCTAGTGGCCGGCATCCCGGGAGTTTTCATGCCGTGGCTCGGGGGGGGGGGGGGGGGGGGGGGGGGGGGGGGGGGGGGGGGGAGGGTAGGGTTTAGGGTTTAGGGTTTAGGGTTTAGGGTTTAGGGTTTAGGGTTTAGGGTTTAGGGTTTAGGGTTTAGGGTTTAGGGTTCAGGATTCGCTGCCCCGGCTTCAGTTCCAGTCTTAAAAAAGGCTTCAGGATTTAGGCTTTCGGACGTCTTATACAGCGCCTGGGCCCGCCAAAATTATTTCGTAAGGCCCGAAACCCGAATCCCTCCTTTAATTTCTCGAAGAAACCCCTAAACATAGAAACCCTGACCTTGAAACCCTAAACTTGAAACCCTCAAACCCTGAAACCCTACATTGTGCGGGTCTACTTGAAGGTTCATGGGACTTGAGAACCACTTATAACTGGGCTTATCACCCTACTTATAAATGGGATAACCCCTATAAGGCCCTTTAGGGGCATCATAAGTAGGGTTATAAGTACAGTTATAATTGGTTAGTAAGTACCATGAACCTCCAAGTATGGCACGCATGAGTCTTATGTTCTCCCAGAGCCAATTTTCCTAGCCATGCTGTTTGCACAAGGCGAAAGCAAAGGCACACTTGGGCACGCTCAGGAGAGCAAGACTCTGTCGCAACACACAGAGTGGTAGGCGAGTAGCCCTAAACCCTAAACCCTAAACCCTAAACCCTAAACCCTAAACCCCCATTTTCGCAGCACATCCCAGGCTCAGGGGGCCCAAGCCTGCGACCCCCTGCGGATCGCTGCGTTCCCCGCAATTATGTTGCGACAGGTCCTGGTCTACGCTGACAGCCTGTCTTGGGGCATCTCAGTAGTGGACTGGGTAACCGTTAACCTTTTTTTTTGGGGGGGTATCCCTAAACCCTAAACCCTAAACCCTAAACCCTAAACCCTAAACCCTAAACCCTAAACCCCTAATCCTTGGACAACGAAGGCATCATCCCAGGTACCAGGTCCCGATTTCCCTTTGACAAGCGCTGGCCGGGGGTGCTGGAGGCCTCCCTCGTCCGCCAGGGACAGAATATCCGAGTCATCGCGACTTGGTCGCCCAGTGGTACCCTTAAGCCCTTCAGGGTTTAGGGTTTAGGGTTTAGGGTTTAGGGTTTAGGGTTACTTGTTTTTTTGGTTCAAGGTTCCCTTTTTCAAGCAACCAGCCCAGAACAGGGTACGCTTGTTGCAATATGGATACTCGGCTACCAAGGAGAATTGCCTCAATGGACGGAGGACTGTTTGGGAAGACCCCTTCAAGCCTGGCCGTGATGGCTCACAAGGCTTGGCACAGGTGATCGAGTACAACTCTCCCCTGAGTCTGGTTGTGCTTTGCCTTGGAACAAACGACTTCCAATGTACTCACGACCATCGTGCCTGGCTCTCTGCCCAAGGCACAGCAAAGCTGGTGCAGATCCTTAGTAGTAAACAGAATCATACTCATAGTCATAGTCGTAATAAACGGCGAACCTTCTTTTTTTGGTCCAGGGTATTTTTCGCCCCTAAGGATCATTCGCCAGGCGCCCATCGAGCCGGGAATGCCAGTGCCAGAGATCCTGGTCGTTGCCCCGCCAAAGATCCGGGAGCCTCAGGGGCCGATCCGCCACAAGTTTCATGGGGCGGAACACAGAGACCATGGCTATGCTATGGCCTTAAGGGACATTTAAGTTTTTTGAAAGATGTTCCCCCTTAATTCTTGGGGTTTAACAGAGGGTCATACTTCAGGAGTGTGTGTATGTTTCACATATGTTCTTTTCACTCTTAGGTTTTTGAAGAGGGTCATACTTCAGGAGCATTTTTTTCCAGAGAGTTTTTTGAAGGGCCACCCTAAACCCTAAACCCTAAACCCTAAACCCTAAACCCTAAACCCTAAACCCTAAACCCTAAACCCTAAATGGGCCAATCCTAGGAGACCATGGCTTGGCCGGCGAGCTTGAGAAGGTGGCCAGCGAGCAGTCCGTGCACTTCTTTGATGCGGAGACCGTTACTTAGGGGCTGGGTAGTTAACCTTCAACTCTTTTGGTTAAAAAAATATCTATATATATATATATATGTATATATATATATAGAATCCTATTGAGCTTATTTGGGTAAATAAAAATATGCAACATCCAGTCCTATTACAAGTAAAAAGGTTAACATTTTTTTTGGGCCAGGGCTTTTCAGGCCCTGAGGTCACAAGAGCCAGCCTCGTGGATGGCATCCATCTCGATGAGGACCAGCACGCGAGACTCGGGGAGGCGGTCGCCCAGCAAGCTGCCAGGATTCTACGCTGAGCCTCTCCCTGTTCACCCGCAGGGTTTAGGGTTTAGGGCTTAGGGTTAGGGTTTAGGGTTTAGGGTTGAGGGTTTAGGGTTTAGGGTTACCAGAAGTCGAATTACTGGAAGCAAATCGAATGCCTGACTCGCTGCACAAGCAAAACTCAGAATAGGAAGCACGGGCACCAGACCCGTGGGAGGATCCAAAAAGTAGATGCCCTTAGACTCGCGCACGCCCCTCATCACTCGAGGCTTCTGGTCCTGCTTTGTTGGGTTTTGGGATTTAGGGTTGAGGGTTTAGGATTTAGGGTTTAGGGTTTCGGGTTTAGGGTTTAGGGTTTAGGGAGCATGCTATCGTGCCAGAAGTGTCATGAAGAACCAAGCGGCGGCTGCTCCAGATTCTGTAGGGCTCAGCGGGCGCTTGCAGAAAAAAGCTGTGAGGCAGGACTGGGTTTAGGGTTTAGGGTTTAGGGTTTAGGGTTTAGGGTTTAGGGTTTAGGGTTTAGGGTTCAGGGTTTAGGGTTTAGGGTTTAGGGTTTAAAGTTTAAAGGGTTTAGGGTTTAGGGTTTAAAGTTTAAAGGGTTAAGGGTTAAGGGTTAAGGGTTTAGGGTTTAGGGTTTAGGGTTTAGGGTTTAGGGTTTAGTCTAGAGACCCCCCCAAATGCCCTCGAATGTAGATCAGACGCTGTAACGCTACCCAGCTACGCCAACTCTAGCGCCTGAACCCTAATCCCACCCAGGTTTTAGGCGACCGAGAAGCCTTACACGCCCTATTACCCTATAGACCCTGCACAGACCGGAACCTCCCAACGATGGCACAGTCCGACCCCCCCCCCCCCCCCCCCCCCAAAAAAAAAAACACTCGTGAGCTCTTTACTTGGGGCTCGTGAGTTTCTGGCTAATGATAGTCATAGGTTTAGGGCTTAGGGCTTAGGGCTTGGGGCTTGGGGCTTAGGGCTTAGGGCTTCGGGCTTAGGGCTCAGGAGGGAAACTACAAACGGATGTTATCCGCACATTGCTGTTGCATGACACCTGAGAAAAGCCAGCCCTGCGAGCCAAGGTGTCGTTGATCCTGGGCCCCAAGAAGGCCCACGCGAAAGGTTTTGTTGGTTTAGGGTTTAGGGCTGAAGGCTGAGGGCTGAGGGCTTAGGGCTTAGCGCTTAGGGCTTAGGGCTTAGGGCCGTTTGCTTCTGAGCTCTGTTCTTTGGTGGCCGAACTTTTGTGTGGCGCCAGTGGTGTTGCCCAGTGCTTCAGGTCAGCCAGGGGTGACAAACCCTAAACCTAAACCGTAAAACCTAAACCCTAAACCCTAAACCCTGGCTCCCTGGGCATCCTACAGCCTTTCGACCCTGAACCCTCCTCGCGGTCTCGTTCAGGCGGCGCACGGACAGTTCCCGCCCGTCCCAGTGCGGCCGAAGGCGCGGCCCGCGTCGTTTCCAGGCTGTCAGGCTTGAGGGTTCAACCCTAAACCCGAAACCCTAAACCCTAAACCCTAAACCTTAGCCCTAAACCCTAAACCCTGAACCGGGCTCGAGCTGCGGACTTAGTTTAGCTCTTAAGGTGACTGGGCAGGCAACCTTCAGGGTCTTCCCAAAGTGCCCAAAGCCCCTTAACTAAGGAATACATATGTATATATATACACATAAACATATATATATATTAATATATGTATCTCTCTCCATGGTCACTTTTCTAAAGTATGGTCCCTTGTGGATTGCCAGTATAAGGTGGCCCCGAATATTTAGGGCACCCAACAAGGGACCATCATTTTGAGGAGTGACCACATGGGGATCCCTGAGTATGATTTTAGGGTTTAGGGTTTGGGGTTTAGGGTTTCGGGTTTAGGGTTTCGGGTTTGGGGTTTAGAGTTTGGGGTTTAGGGTTGAGGGCTTGAGGTTTACAGGGCTTCTGCAGCTGGAGAGATCCTGCAGCTGGCGTCGATGGAAGTGTGTAGCCGGTGATTGCTTCCAGCTTCTCGGCGGATCGATGCAGTTTCAGGTCTGGCTGCGGAGGGTTTAGGGTTTAGGATTTAGGGTTTAGGGTTTAGGGTTTAGGGCTACTTGAACACGTCTGAACTTTTAGTGCCTTCATTTGCTTGCCAAGGCTAGTCACATTGACGCCAAAGTAGGGGTTAGAGTTCACGCGGCTAGGGGTTTATTGTTTAGGGTTTAGCGTCTTACTAGGGACCACCCCCCCCCCTAGCCCCCTAACAGCCCTAACATGAAAAAGTCCCATCATTGGATCGTGGGGAATATGGAATATTTGGAGGAACCCTAAACCCTAAACCCTAAACCCTAAACCCTAAACCCTAAACCGTCAGCTTGCAGGAGCCACACAGACCCGATGCCGCACACGACGGCATTCTGGGTGATGGGCCTAGGCCCGCTTACCCTAAGCCTTAACACATGGGTTTAGGGTTCTGGGGGTTTGGGGTTACCCTAAACCCTAAACCCTAAACCCTAAACCCTAAACCCTAAACCCCCAAGGCCTAAAACATGGACGTTGATCGTATTTGGATAAGGATCCCAAATTACATGGCCCCTTGTTGTTGCTAAGATATCTACGGAAGTTTTTTGGGCTCAGACTTGCAGAGCTTCAGACCCTATACAGCCTATACAGCACCCATAATTACAACCCTTTGATCCCCCTCCCCCCCCCCCCCTCCCCGGTGTTGCAGAAACCAGCTCTTGCTGTCCAGCGGCAACCTAAGCGCCCTAAGATTGGGCCCTGGGCTCTCCACTCCTGCCCACTCTCCCTGACGCCATGGTGTTGCAAGGACTCTCCAGCATCAACGCTCTCAGCACTGACTTCGGCTGGGTTTAGGGTTTAGGGTTTAGGGTTTAGGGTTTAGGGTTTAGGGTTTAGGGTTTATGGTTTATAGGGTTCATAGGGTTTAGGGTTTATAGGGTTTAGGGTTTCGGGTTTAGGGCTTTGGGACATGCACCAACTCGCAAGCAAGCATGGCTCGAGCTCGAATTCCATTCCAGCCTCCCAAGAATCTCTGATGCCAGCAGCCGTTTAAAGCCGTGCGAAACCCTAAACCCAAAACCCTAAACCCTAAACCCTAACCCGAATGCTAGCAAGCTGGCTTGTGGGAACGCTGGGAACACCCGTCCCCTCACGCAAAATGTCCCGGCCACGCCCCCCCCCTGTTTCGAAGGGCACCCAGCTCTGCGCTCAGAGCTCATGCCTTCTCGCGGAAGGCCGGAGAATTTTTTCTTTGCGGGCTTCCGTGGCTTAAGTTCAACCGCGAGCGTGCATGAGAGTCGATAACGAAAACCCGAAGGGTAAGAACAGCAAACGAAGACCCCCCCCCCACCCATGAAGGAAGACTTCCGATGCAACGTCGAGGCAAGGGAGGGGTCTTGAAAAACCCTAAACCCTAAACCCTAAACCCTAAACCCTAAACCCTAAACCCTAAACCCTAAACCCTAAACGGGTTTAGGGTTTATAAGGCTTAGGTGCCGGCATGGCTCTCAGACCGGGTTCAACAAAGGGTTCAGGGTTTAGGGCCCCTTTACTAAAAAAAAAAAAAGGGGCCCCATACTAGACCCTCAGATAGTGGGATTCCAATAGGGTATCCCCCCCCCCCCCCCACTTTCGGAACCCCAGTTCAGCAAAGTTTCAGGAAGTCCAGGGGTTTTTTGGGGAGTTTCAAGGAGTTTGAGAAAAGAGGGTTTAGGGTTTAGGGTTTGGGTTTTAAGGGTTGGGATGTTCCCCCTTATACAACAGTCCTTAATAGGGATTAGAATAGGGGGTACTAGAATCCCTATCAATGACTGTTAGTATACAGTAAACCCCACTGGAAACCTTTTTCAGGACAAATAGTGCTGGGATTCCCTGTTTCTTACTCTTAGGGATTGACGCTACTGAGTTTCCAACTGTTTGGCTTCTACTATAGAGGGGAACATCCCAAGGTTTTGGGTTTGCTGGAGGCTTCGTGGTCTGCCTTGCGGTTTACGGTTTAGGGTTTAGGGTTTAGGGCTTAACAGAGAAGTGAACATGCATTCATTCCCATGTAAATGGGCCATTCACTACGTTCATTTGTAAACGAATTAATGGCCCTACAAAAAGCCCCTTGAAAATTATTAAATTTCCTGCGGTTTTACACGGGCATATAATACGTTCATATGCTACTTTCATTCTATTACTAATTATTCATGGTTTTCCTGGTGCTTTCTTCATTCTCTCTTCATTTCCTTCATTACACTTCGTGCTTACCTAGGGCTTAGGGCTTAGGGCTTGGGGTTCTATGATCACCTGAATCCCTTGCCGCACGGCGGTGCAGCACAAGAAGGAGGCCCTCCAGCCCGAAGCCCAACAAGGGTTTAGGGTTCTTCGGGTTTAGGGTTTTGGGTTTAGGGTTTAGGGTGATAGCCCGCTTTTGACACAGGATGCTATTCTATTTGGCGAAAACGGGGTGCCCTGATTTTGGGAAATACCCATCTTGGTTAGGGACTGAGATGCTCGGCTTCGTTTGCGGCAGGAGGCCTAAAGGAGGGACCCTTGTAAGAGACCTTAGGGGTTCCTTACGGGTTATTTGGGGGCTACTTAGGATTTTGGGATGATATCGGATAGATATTGGGGGGGCCTTTTTCGGGGAATAAGATTAAGGGTTCCTTCTAGGGGCCCTCCTTTTGCCCCTTAATTGCGGCAGGAGGTGTTGCCTTGCAGGACTTTGCTCAAGCTGAGTCATGTATCCGGCCGGCCTTTGGCGCTTTTTGTCTCTGCCGCTGCATGTTCCTAAACCCAAAACCCTAAACCCTAAACCCTAAACCCTAAACCCTAAACCCTAAACCCTAAACCCTAAACCCTAAACCCTAAACCCTAAACCCTAAACCCTAAACCGAGACGGACGTGTGACCCTGCTTTGTGGTTCGGCCAGCTACGCGGGAGCGAAAGCGAAAGCCCTAAACCCTAAAACCTAAACCTTAAACCCTAAACCCTGAACCCTAAAAACCCTAAACCCTCAAATCCCTGAACCCTAAACCCTAAACCTTAAACCCTAAACCCTAAGAAACCCTAAACCCTAAACCCGAATCTGCAGGCATCGCACCAGTGGTCTCTTAAGGAGAGGCAGTCGGGCACTTGGAAGCTCAGGAAACATGCCCCTGGGAGCCGAGAAACTTTTTGGGGTTTAGGGTTTAGGGTTTAGGGTTTAGGGTTTGGGGTTTCGGGACCCTCAAGCCCCCCCACGGCCCTACTTTCTAGACCCCAGACGGGTGGATAAACATACTCTACTCACTACACCACACGCTACTTGCAAAACCCTAAAGTAGAAGACAATGATCCCCATATTTCCCTTAATAAGGATTTTTTTGTTATTATTTTTTTTTGGGGGGGGGTGTTCTTAAGCAATTCGTAGGTTAGGGTTTAGGGCCTAAACCCTCAACCTTAAACCCTAAACCCTGCTGTAGAAACGGGTTTAGGGGCTTACACACTCTATGCCTTGCCTTTCAACATTGCCACGACGCGGGAGATTTTCTAACCCCTAAAGACCCTGCGAACTCTCAGCGACGAAGCAAGCTAGCACTTCGTTCGTAGCATTCCAGATCAGTGCTTTTTTTTTTTGGGGGGGGGGGGGGATGGCGACCCATCCCCTAAACCCTAAACCCTAAACCCTATACTAAACCCTGAACCCTGAACCCTGAACCCTGAACCCTGAACCCTGAACCCTAAACCCTAAACCCTTGACCCTAGACCCTAGACCCTAAACCCTAAACCCTAGACCCTAGACCCTAGACCCTAACCCCTAAACCCTAAACACTAAACCCTGAACCCTGAACCCTCAACCCTCAACCCTCAACCCTCAACCCTAAACCCTAAACCCTAAACCCTAAACCCTAAACCCTAAACCCTGAAAGCTAAGCCTTCAACCCTACTCAAACCTTCCATGAGCTCAACATGATCACACTGGAAAAAAGCTCCAAACACCCTACAGCAAACAAAGGGTAAAGCCTACACCCTAAACCTTAATCTTAAGGTTTAGGGTTTTTAGGGTTTTAGGGTTTAGGGTGTAGGGTGCAGGGTGTAGGGTTTAGGAATTAGGGTGTAGGGTAAACGCGAAGCCCCAAAATTCCATTCTGAGGCACTGCTGCTCCGTAAGCGGCCTTGGCTGTCCACAGCTGAAGTGCGAGTCAGGCTACTAGGGTTTTAGGGTGTAGGGTTTAGGGTTTAGGGTGTAGGGTTCAGGGTTTAGGGTAAGTGGCGTTGTTGGTTGAGTGGACGATTTCGGGTTTAGGCGATTTGGGCTTGCGTTTCAGGGTTTCGGGGTCTTGGGTTTTGGGGCTCAGGATTTTCGGGGTCCGGAAGCCAAAAGGGTCTTAGGGTCTTAGGGTTTTAGGGTTTAGGGTTTAGGGTTTAGGGTTTAGGGTATCTTGAGAGGGTGGCGGGTGCTTTGATCTTGATCCCTAAGCTAAGCTCCCGGGCCTCAAAGTTTGTTGGCGAGTACAAGTGCAGGTTGGGATGTTCTCCCCTTATACTAGTAGCTCCTTAATAGGGTTTAGGGTTTTAGGTTTAGGGTTTAGGGTTTAGGGTTTAGGGATGTTCCCGCTGAAGCAAACAGCTCCTGAGTAGGGATTCTAATGGGGGGGCTACCACATCCCTACTGAGGACTGTTCGCATAAGGCGGAACTCTCCAAGGTGCAAGGGCTGACGGCACAAGAGCCCCTGAAGGCGCAGGTTGAGGGTTGAGGGTTTAGGGTTTAGAGTTGAGGGTCATCAAGTGTGGGTTTAGGGTTTAGGGTTTAGGGTTTCGGGTTTAGGGTTTAGGGTTTCGGGTTTAGGGTTTCGGGTTTACAAGAACATCGGTGAAGCCCCGAGCGATGTGACGAGGCAGCGATGATTGGCAACATGCGTGGTCGCCATCCCAGCTTCGGCCTCCTTGGAGATTCATGGGTACTTTATCTACTTAAGTAGCTACTTAATTACTTTGTGGTGCTTTGCTGTAACTTTACATCTTTAGCCTTTTGGGTTTGTTGGGTTTCTTGTTAAGGCAGCTAAAAGTTTAATTTATAGCTACCCTCCTGAGTGCAGCCAAGATTAGAGGAGTTGGAGATTCATGGGTACTCTATAACCCCACTTAGAAGTCTACCTAGTAGCTACTCAATTAGAGGAGCAAGGGGGCATAACCCCAGTTAGACGTCTACTTCGTAGCTACTCAATTCGAGGAGTCAAGGGGGCATCTCAGTGCAGTGCTATGTGGGGTTAGAAGTACCCTGACCCTCCAGGTCGGCAGGCCCTTGGGATGTTTAGGGTGTAGGGTTTAGGGTTTAGGGTTTAGGGATTAGCGTTTCAGAGGGTCATTTTTGTAATATTTTTCGGAGCAGGTAAGGGCTGGCTGGGGCTTCAAGTACAAGCCGGCCAGAGTACCGAGACACCTCCAGCAAGTCACCACCCTAGGCCCTCAACCCTAAACCCTAAACCCCCTAAACACCCTAAACACCCTGAACCCTAAACCCTCGCTTTGCGAGAAACCTTTCCAGGTCCCTGGGCAAGAAGATCTGGTGCTGCGAGCACCACAACATCGGATGCCGGGAGCCCCTAGCCGCTGCCTCTCTTCTTTTGACCTGTAGGCTCCCTGAACTCTATAACCCTAAACCCTAAACCCTGAGCTCTGTAACCCTGTAACCCTAAACCCCTGTGTTAGGGCTCAGGATTTAGCATCTGAGTTTCGGGCTTAGGGTCGAGGAAACATATGCATTTGCATATCGGTGCGTCTGCTTCTATGAAATACTGAATAGCTTGGAGCTCGTATATTCTACGAACTACGAACTAGTATCTTCTTATTGCTTGCACATGGTGATCTCAAATTTTTCGAAGCCCTTGTAAGGGCCAAGTCCCTAGCCTATAGTTGTGCCCTCATGGGCACGGTTTGGGCATTGAACCCTAAGCCCGAGACCCTAAACCCTAAACCCTAAACCCTAAACCCTAAACCCTAAACCCTAAACCCTAAACCCAAAGCGCTGGGAGGCCCGGACAAAGCCTCCGCACCAGTGCCAGCACCAGTGCCAGCACCAGTGCCAGCACCAGTGCCAGCACCACCGGCGGCGAAGGCGGTGCAGCTTCGCTGTTGCGCAGCACATTCCTTGCTAGCGTTTCGGCAGTCAGCTCTAGTTTCAGCTTAGCATTCGGATAGTTGCAGGCATTTTAGAGGAATCTAGTTTAAGCTCAGACTACGTGCGTGTTCGTCGAAGATGCAAGGCCGCCGTAATGCACAGGCTCTTTTGGTCGCTGTGCTGAGGATGCTCCAAAAGCCTGAGAGCTTCACAAAACCCTAAGCCCTAAACCCTAAGTACCCTAAACCCTAAACCCCAAACCCTAAACCATAAACCCCTAAACCCCTAAACCCCCAAACCCCAAGCCCAATCTTAAACTTACAAACCTGACTTCCGGATCTTGATACCCTAAATACCCTCAACCCTAAACCCTCAACCCTAGACCCCCAAACCCCCAAACCCCCAAACCCCCAAACCCCCAAACCCCCAAACCCCCAAACCCCCAAACCCCCAATCTTGACAGCCAGGCCCCGGCACACGTGCCCGCACCTGCGCCGCGGCCCGCGCCTCCTGCGCCTGGCACAGTGCAGCCTGTGCAGGTCGTAACGGCAGCAGGGGCCTCGGAGTTTAGGGTTTAGGGTTTGGGGTTTAGGGTTTAGGGTTTAGGGTTTAGGGTTTAGGGTTTAGGGGTCAGGGTTTAGGGTTTAGGGTGTAGGGTGTAGGGTTCAGGGTTTTGGGTTTAGGGCGGCAGAGACCGTGGGAAGCGCTTGGGGATGCCTGCAGCCAAATATCCGGAAAGTGCAAGTTGCTGCAAACTGGGTAGCCATGATTCGTGCCTTGGTGCTCGCGATGCTGCAGTTCGGGGCCGGCAGCTACGAAGATGCCGGCTTGCTCCAACTTGTGCGGAAGCCGGATCCATCCTGTTCTGCCAGCCCCTGCAGTGCGCTGAAGCTTGCGGGGGCGTGCTGTCCGACTCTGGATGGCGTGTACCTCCACTGTTGCAGCACCGGGCCTTCGCCCGCTCCGGCCCCAACCCCGCGCACAACCAACACATCTGACCAAGACGAACCGACTACAACCACGCCGGCGCCTTCACCCGCGCCTTCACCCGCGCCTTCACCCGAGCCTTGGTAGCCCAGTGGGTAGCCTTTACTCTTTTGTTGGTTCTGGGTTCCCTTCTCAAGCAACCAGCCACACAAGAAACTTATTCTAATATGGTTCCGGGGCTTACCTTTTCAAAGCAACCAACCTTATAATAAAAGGAGGTAGCCCTTGTTTTTAAATAGGGTTCCTGGGCTACGAAGGAGCCCGAGCAAACCCCAAACCCCAAACCCCAAACCCCAAACCCCAAACCCCAAACCCCAAACCCCAAACCCCAAACCCCAAACCCCAAACCCCCAACCCCAAACCCCAAACCCCACACCCCAAACCCCAAACCCCAAACCCCAAACCCCAAACCCCAAACCCCAAACCCCAAACCCCAAACCCCAAACCCCAAACCCTAAACCCTAAACCCTAAACCCTAACCCTAAAGGAGCCCGAGCAGCCACAGATGGCGACGCTCACCACCTTCCACTGGAACGTCCACTGGCAGTGTGCTCAGTCCGATGCCGCCTGCACTGCGGCCGCCTTGGCGAAATTCAAGGAGCCTTGGTGGCCCGGGTATTAGGGTTTAGGGTTTCGGGTTTAGGGTTTGGGGTTTACCCCAGTGGGATTATTACTTTTTGTTGCACCTTTTGCTTTTCAAGTTAATAAGGCTCCCTGATAAAAGCGTTTTATAAAGTAAGGTCTATTCCTTCCCTAGACGCTAGACCCTCAACCCCAAACCCTGAGCCCTAAACCCTAACCCTAAATCCGAAGCCCTAAACCCCAAACCCCAAACCCTAAACCCTAAGCCCTAAACCCTACCCTTGGGAAGGAGTTGGTGGCAGAGTCCGGGGCCCAGATAGCAGGAGCCATCGAGATGACGGGGGCATCGACCGAATTGTCCGGCTGGTCATCCTCAAAAGAGTCTTGGGTAGGGTTTAGGGTTTAGGGTTTAGGGCTTAGGGCTTAGGGTTTAGGGCTTAGGGCTTAGGGTTTCGGGCTTGGGGCTTAGGGCTTAGGGCTCAGGGCTTAGGGCTTAGGATTGGGTTGAGGGTTCAGGGTTGAAGGTAGCCCAGTGGTACCCCTTTGTGCCATATTCTTGTGGGGTTCCATAGGTTCCCTGCTTAAACGGTCCAGTGGTACCCTTTTGTGCACGTTGTTTGCTCCAAGGTTCCCTTTACAAAGCAACCCCCCTTCCCCCCCCCAAAAAAAAAACACGAAAAAGCAACAAAAGACAAGGGTGCCCTGATGCCACCAAGGAGTACGAAGATCATGTGTCCGTCATGGTTGCACCAGGCTGGGAGGTCTTGAAGCTTTGCCATAAGTGGGGCGACATTTTGCATTTTTTAGGGCTACTTAAACTGAGCAATGAATGGAAGCTTAAACTTTTTGAAGGGTGCTTAATCTCAATAAGGAATAGAACTCTAAGCCCTAAACCCTAAACCCTGAACCCTGAACCACTTTTCCTGAACTTGGGCTCTAGTATGTCTCTGGCCTCTTCCGCGTAAACGCATGCGAAACGGGTGGGGAGAAAAACCCTGCACCCTAAACCCTCAACCCTAAAGCCTAAACCCTAAACCCTAAACCCTAATCCCTAAACCCTTAACCCTAAACCCTAAACCGTATCTCAACAACGAACTAGGAAAGAAGGGGGTGGCAACATCTGCTGCGATGGCTCTCGGGGCTTGGCGGTCTTGCTGGTGAAGCCGCCGGAGCGGGTGTCCAGCTGCTTGGTAGGGTTTAGGGTTTAGGGTTTAGGGTTTAGGGTTTAGGGTTTAGGGTTTAGGGTTTAGGGTTTAGGGTTTCGGGTTTGGGGTTTGGGGTTTAGGGTTTCAAGTTTAGGGTTTAGGGGTAGGCCCTTGAAACATTTTATGTGTCCCCTTATTGGGTTCAAGAGGATCATCTTCAGGAATATGTGTGAACCCTGAACCCTGAATTATGAATTCTGAACCCTGAACCCTAAACCCTAAACCCTCAACCCTAAACCCTAAACCCTAAACCCCTGGTTTTTTGGGGCCATCCGAGGCTGCGACACGCTCTGCGTGATGGCGGTTCACCCAGGTCATTCGCCGATCCAGAGTGCCTTGGGGACCAAATGAACCCTAAAATTAAGTTTAGGGTTTAGGGTTTAGGGTTTAGGGTTTAGGGTTTAGGGTTTAGGGTTTAGGGTTTAGGGTTACTACTATGATTCCTATCAAAGGTATATGAACCACAAACCCTTGAGGGTCCTTTTCGTCCCGAAGGTGGAGGTGAGATCGTGGAAAGCGTGTGTGGCGATGCCAGGTCCGGGGGGGGGGGTTTCCGAACATAGGAGGAGGGTGTAGGGTTTAGGGTTTAGGGTTTAGGGTTTAGGGTTTAGGGTTTAGGGTTCAGGGTTTAGGGTTTAGGTTTTATATAGGGTTTAGGGTTTAGTGGAGTTTACGAAAATACAGGATCCCCTTATGCCACCAAGAAGTAGGGGTACCCCTAATTTTGGAGACCCTCCAGGTTCTCATGCGCCATTGCAGTTGGAGACTGGAACGTGGACGCTGCGGGTGTCAAAGGTGGCTCCTTTGATACTTGGCTTTCTTCCGGCTGGCTCTTAGGACTTTAACCTTTTGGGTTTTTGTAGAAACTACAATAAGGAGCCTAAAAGTTGAACTTTTGGGGTTCAGAAGTCAGCCAAGGATACTTGGCAAAAGCTGGTCGGAGGCAACCCACCGGTATTTGTCGAGCCAGACTCGGAAACTTGCTGCTACCCTTCCACGTGCTGCAAGTACGACCATGCTGCCACCAACATACCCGGGGCAGAAGTTTCGAAAACCCAAGTCTGGGGCTATCAGCTTACAGACCAGTTCAGCATGAAAGAGGAGCACATGCCCGTTTCTGTGCATATCAATCTGCCCACGGAAGTGGAATTATCCAGCTAGGCCGTCTGTTTGATAGGACCGACGTTTCCTTGCTGAGTATGTGAGAAGGAGACTCAGTGAACACATTGCCCGGGTGTTACGAAGTCCTCTCCTAGTTTCTGCTGGTCCGACCAGACAGACTGCCAGGATGCCTTGTACCGAACTTACAGCAAGTTTTGGTGCAGCCTTATGAGCATCAATGTTTAGTAGCTCCTCCTGTGGGGGGACTTGCACGTATGAAATATGGCATCAGGTGCTATACAGCCGGCTGCTGAGACATTCGTGGCAATACTGCTGCAATCCTTACTTCTTTTGTTTCTCCTCGGCATCCGAAGTTGGCAGCACCAGAACCTCCTTCCTGAAGCCATGACATATCCCCCGGAGCGTCAAAACAAAGCAAGGAAAGGCGATACTTGCAATGAGCCCTGGTGCATCTAAGGGAAGCTACCTGGCCCCTGAATACGGTCCCTTACCGTCTGTAAAGGCTTCTGATGCGTGGGCCCATACTCAGGGACCTAATGACTACCCTTAGGGTTTAGGGTTTAGGGTTTAGGGTTTAGGGTTTAGGGTTTAGGGTTCAGATTCCAGGGGCGTGGGGATGATGCTGTCGTGCCTGGACGCGGTTTGAGAGCAAAGCAACGCTTAGGGCGCATGGATTGGCTTAGGGTTTCGGGTTTCGGGTTTCGGGTTTCGGGTTTAGGGTTTAGGGTTTAGGGTTTAGGGTTTAGGGTAAACCCTACAGCCCGAAGCCTCCCCATGTCTCGCTGAAGGCCCCCATCCCCATCGGCATCATGTTTGGCGGCCCGCAGGTGGAAGAGAAGTTGTGTTCCCGTTTTTTGGGGCTAGGGTTTAGGGTTTAGGGTTTAGGGTTTAGGGTTTAGGGTTTAGGGTTTAGGGTTTATGGTTTAGGGGTCTAGGGGTTTAGGGGTCTTGGGGTTTAGGGGTTTAGGGGTTTAGGGGTTTAGGGGTTTAGGGGTTTAGGGGTTTAGGGGTTTAGGGGTTTAGGGGTTTAGGGGTTTAGGGGTTTAGGGTTCAGGAGGTTTAGGAGGTTTAGGGGGTTTAGGGGGTTTAGGGGGTTTAGGGGGTTCAGGGGGTTTAGGGTTTAGGGGGTTTAGGGTTTATTAAGGGTTGATTAGGGTTTATGAGGGTTTACTAGGGCTTAGGGTTTAGGGTCCATATACCTTAGTAGGGATTATAATGGCGTAGGCTCCTACCACGTGCAAGTACAAGATCGCCCGCAGGCCCGCAATGAGCGGCAATGCCTTCCTTGCTGAACCTTTTCAATTCGACAGATTAATGATTAGGGTTTAGGGTGCCCTCCCCCCCAAAAAGCGGTCGAACCCCAAATCCTTGACGTCAAGAAAGAAAGCACTCTAAACCGTAAACCATAAACCCTAAACCCTAAACCCTAAACCCTGCCGAAGTTTTGCAGGCCTTGGAGAGGCACAGCCAGGGCCACGGCCACTTGTTGAGCCTGCTGCGGTTCGCAGAAGCAGCAACTGACGGATGGAGAATTCTGTTGGGTTTAGGGTTGAGGGTTTAGGGTTCAGGGTTCAGGGTTTGGGGTTTGGGGTTTAGGGTTCAGGGTTCAGGGTTTGGGGTTTGGGGTTTAGGGTTTGCGGGGCATTTTGAATAAAGCACTCCGTAAACCCTGGGGGGCCTTTGCGTGAAACTCAGAACAATAGAGCGTTGGGGGGGGGGGGGGGGGGTGGTAAACCCTAAACCCTAAACCCTAAACCCTAACCCCAAAATGCGCACCTAGGCTCCCTACGAAAGCCCTAAATTCTGGACCCCTGAACCGGAACCCCAAAGCCTCTGACAAAGAAAGGCGTATTTCCCAAAATCTACCCCTTTTCTACCCCAAATAGAATCCCCTTAATAAAAGAGGCCCCCGAAAAAGGGTACCCCTTCTTTTCGGAAACCCTGAAACCTAAACCCTAAACCCTAAACCCTAAACCCTAAACCGCGCGTTCCCAGGCAGCAAGAACTCGACCTCTTCGGAACCTTACGACTGCCACAAGGGCCGCCTTGCTGGAAGGTGTTTAGGGTTTAGGGTTTAGGGTTCAGGGTTCAGGGTTAAGGGTTTAGGTTTTTAAGTGCTTAGGCTGCTTTGGCTTTAAGAGCTTTGGGGTCAGGCGTTGAGAAGCTAGTGGCCCTACATGGGCTTAGGGACTTAAGATGCAGTGGTGATGTAAGTAAATCCTAAACCCTGGACCTTAACCCTAAACCCTATAAACCCTATAAACCCTATAAACCCTATAAACCCTATAAACCCTAAACCCAAGAGGGTTCAAAGGGAAGCTGGCAAGTCTCTTGGGGTTTCAGCGCGTCCCGAGCCTCCAAACCCCAGCACTCCGCTGGGGCCCGAGCCGGACTGCTGCCGATGGCAGCTCCCGGCCCTGAATTGAAGCGTACTTGGAGGTTCATGGGTTAGGGTCTAGGTAGGGTCAAGGTGGGTTAGGGTCTAGGTAGGGTCTAGGTAGAGTCTAGAGTCTAGAGTCTAGGGTCTAGGGTTTAGGGTTTAGGGTCTAGGGTCTAGGGTCTAGGGTCTAGGGTCTAGGGTCTAGGGTTTAGGGTTTAGGGTTTAGGGTTTAGGGTTTAGGGTTTAGGGTTTAGGGTTTAGGGTTTAGGGTTTAGGGTTTAGGGTTTAGGGTTTAGGGTTTAGGGTTTAGGGTTTAGGGTTTAGGGTTTAGGGTTTAGGGTTTAGGGTTTAGGGTTTAGGCTTAGGGTTTAGGGAATTTAGCGAATTTAGGGAATTTAGGGGATTTAAAAAAAATAAGGGTCTAGGGAATAACCACAGTTATAGCTCTAAGTTCTACGTATAACCTACTTAGTGGACTTTGGGGGGCTTGGAAGTACAGCTACATCTGGGGTTTTAAGTGCCCTGAACCCTCAACCCTAAACCCAAGCCCTGAACCTCCAAGTACTGCGAATGCCCTTTAAAACGTAAGCCGAGTCATGGTTGCGAACTCGAGGGCTCAAGGTTTTTGAGGGCTTACAGGGGTTTTCTTGGGGGTTTAGGGTTTAGGGTTTAGGGTTTAGGGTTTAGGGTTTGGGGTTTAGGGTTTAGGGCTTAGGATGCAGGAGTTTGGGATTTAGAGCTTCGGGGAATGTAGCTTCCAAGACCCCTAAACTGCAGGAAGGAGTATCCACATGGCAGCCCGAGTCTTAAATCCTCAGCCCCAAACCCCCAAGTCCCAACCCCTAAACTCTGCAAACCTAACCCCCCAAACCCAAAAGTCCCTAAAGCCTAAACCCTACAGGCCCTAAACCCTAAACGCTACAGGCCCTAAACCCTAAACCTTAAACCCTAAACTCTAGTACCTACAGTAACTACGGTACTTGCAGTAACGATCCTGCAGGGGAGGAGCTGTCTCTGAGTTGTGCCGCCCAGGTGCAGCGAGCTGGAGAAAAGGCACTGCTGTGCAATGCGGCGTTGCGGTTGAGGGTCAGGGTTTAGCGGTCTAATCGGGTTGGCCGCACAGGGTTTTAGGGTCTAGGGTTGGGGTTAAGGGGCCAGGGTGTGCTACAAAGGTTTTAGGGTTTAGGGTTGGCGCCCTAAACCCTAAATACCCTAAATACCCTAAATACCCTAAATACCCTAAATACCCTAAATACCCTAAATACCCTGAATACCCTAAATGCCCTAAATACCCTAAATACCCTAAACCCGTAGGGTGCTGGGGTTTCGCGTTCAGGCCGGTTGGGGGATGAACTTCACGATGCCGCCTCGCCAACCCCTTAAAGGGCACCCTTTTTAAGCCTAAATTACTGGGCAGCCTAGCTTAAGAAGAACCCAAAGCTGAAACTTGGCAGCTGTGTCCCTAAACCCTAAACCCACCTGAACCGACATGGGTAGTTCCCCAAATCGCGGTACCGTGATTATTGCCTCCAAAATAGTAGAATCCTTACTAAAGAGGCCCCAGAAAGGGCACCCCCATTTTGGGACACCCCCCATGTGGGCCCTAAACCCTAAACCCCTTGTTGCGGGAGCCCCAAGGACAAGAGCCCCGGTTTGAAGTCGTCAGCTCCCTTCAACTCCACGGGGAGAATGAAGTTTGTAACTTAGAGGCTGGGTAGTTAACCTTTGACCTCTTTGGTTATATGTCTATACATATAAATATATATATATATAGATATTCTAACAAATCTGAGGTTAGCCTTTTTGAGGCCAGGGTATTCGGCCCCCAAGTTAACGTGACCCTAAAGGATCTTCAGAACAAGATGTGTTGAGGGTTTAGAGTTTAGTTTGGAGGAGCCCTGGTGCAAAGGTCCGGTTGCGAAAGCGCTTAGGGTTTCCTGCTTAGGGTTTCGGGTTTAGGAGTTAGGGCTAGGGAAAGGGAGCTTTAGGGTTTAGGGTTTAGGGTTTAGGGTGAACCGGACGACTTCTCGAACCAGCCCCCACACCCTAAACCCTAAACTTTCATGGCAAAAGCGCCCTGCGCCCCTCCAAGCCCAAACCCCCCCCCCCCTTCAAACCCTAAACCCTAAACCCTAAACCCTAAACCCTAAACCCTAAACCCTAAACCCTAAACCCTAAACCCTAAACCCTAAACCCTAAACCTAAACCCCAGCACTCCATTTCCTCCCCCAAACCTGCCCAAACCTGGGCCTGGCAGATTGGAGCAGCCCGCACCAGGCGCCGTGGGACACCCTGCATATGCATGTACCCATATATGGATAGCCACACACACATGTATATATATATATACACATAAAAATGTATATGTATATATACACATACATATACAACCCTAAACCCTAAACCCTAAGCCCTAGGGTCTGGGGGCTTGACTTCGACTACGTCTTGGAAGTTGTTCTGAAATGTGTCTCAAGGTTTTCAATGAGAACCCGTTTAGGGTTTAGGGTTTAGGGAATTTGGGCGGAGACCAGTGGAGCCCAATACAAAGGCACAACGCGTTGAGCCAATGTAGGGTCGGAATTATTTAGTAATATACCCTTATTGTTCTTGTATAGATATGCTCTAATAGCTCCCTAAACCCTATTTCAATGATTAAGGC